ACTTTGGGAATACAAAGCCTGGAAAAAGAAAAGAAAAGAACAACTAATCTAAACATCTAAATAACTGGACTTGCACTTTTGAATATTTGGGGCCCCAAAAAGTTCCTGTTTCTATGGGGACCTATTACCTTATCTATCTGTTAAGTTGAAAAAAACTTTTTTTAAAAAAATGGATAAAAGCCTCACTTGAGTTTGAAAAAAGACTTTAGATGCTATTGGGGACATCTTGTGGTGAAACCTGGTATAGCAAGTGTAATTCTTTTTGTCTGTGAGACATGTGAGACTAAGATTTGTCCTTGGCACTATCAAAAAAGATAAGTTTGGAACAGCTGGGTGGTGAAAACAACTCTTTATAGTGGAGGTGGACGTTTAAGGTGCTGGTTGTCACATTTAAAGCCTTTCATGGCTTGGACCGGTCACATCCGCCTAACCCACTACAGCGGGGAGGCAAGGAATGTAGAGGGGTCCTGTCCCCTAAAGAGGTCCATCTGACAGGACCCAGAAGGGCATAATAATAATAATAATAATAATAATAATAATAATAATAATAATAATAATAATAATAATAATAATAATAATAATAATAATAATAATAAAGTTGGAAGGGACCTTGGAGGTCATCGAGTCCAACCCCTGCTCAGGCAGGAAACCCTTGACAATTTCAGACAAGTGGCTGTCCAGTCTCTTCTTAAAAACTTCCAGTGTTGGAGCATTCACCGCTTCTGAAGGCAGGTTGTTCCACTGGTTAATTGTTCTAACTGTCAGGAAGTTTCTCCTTAGTTCTAGGTTGCTTCTCTCCTTGATTAGCTTCCATCCGCTGCTTCTTCTCTTGTGTTCAGGTGCTTTGGAGAATAGCTTGACTCCCTCTTCTTTGGGGCAGCCCCTGAGATACTGGAACACTGCTATCATGTCTCCCCTCGTCCTTCTCTTCATTAAACTAGACATACCAATTCCAGCAACCGTTCCTTATATGTTTTAGCCTCCAGTCCCCTAATCATCTTTGTTGCTCTTCTCTGTGCTCTTTCTAGAGTCTCAGCATCTTTTTTACATCGTGGTGACCAAAACTGGATGCCGTATTCCAAGCGTGGCCTTACCAAGGCATTGTAAAGCGGTATTAATACTTCGCATGATCTTGATTCTATCCCTCTGTTAATGCAGCCTAGCACTGTGTTCTGGAACATCATGTCTCGGGAAATTAGACCGCCCTCACTCACTCTGACCCTCTTTTGGAAGTTCCTGGTTTTGCCAGTGGGCCTGGGGAACCAAAAGCGGGATGGAGCTCATTAAATGGCTGGCATGAGGGTGTGCTGTTGCTGGGGTTGGGTGGCGGAAGAAGTGGGGGGTGATTATTTTATTCGTTTTATTATTTTTATTTCCTTGATATTGTGTTTTCATTTCCTGTAAGCCATCTTGAGTCACCTGTGAGTGAGTAGGCAGCAATACAATACAAATTTTCTGAATAAATAAGTACATGCCTATTCTGGACCGTATAGCTCCATGTAACCTCGTATAGCTCTATGTAACCCTAACTAGAGAGCACGTATCAGTATGTTAGTAATAGGTCAGTGGGAGGAGTTTCAAAAGGGCATTGGGAGACTTCCTGGACACAAGCCAGATTGGAATGTCTTTGTCTGAAAGAAGCATGGCCCATCAGATGTCACCCGATGAGCCTGTACTGCTATAAAGATGGTATAGAGAGACAGAGCTTCATCTTTTTACCGATAGAAATGAACAAGAGATGTAATATCGGAGGCAATCGTCATGAAAGCAAGTAACCTATCTGATTAAATATATTTCTTGTTATGAAATCATTTCTTTGTGTTATCTATCTGACTGGATTTAAAAGAAGGCGTTTTTAACTCGGAGTCAGAATAGTAAAAAGATGAAACTCTGAATTTTGATCACGTGACCATAGGGATGCTGCAACGATCGTTAAGTGCAAAAAAAATCCGTAAATCACTTTTTTCAGTGGTGTTGTAACTTTGAGCAGTCACTAAATGAATGATTGTAAGTTGAGGGCTACTTGTGATCAGAAGCCTGTTTCGTTTATCCCAAACTCCACCACTGTCTCTTTTCGCCTTAAGATGGAATGCTTTATTTGGTCAAGCGTGATGAGACACACAAAGGAAGTGTCTCCGGTGCAGAAGCTCTGTGTACGTGCAAAACAACAGAGTGATAATAATCATAATGACACCAATAAGGGGGGGTGGGAGTAAGGAAGGTAATAAGAAGGATAATAGTACAATTGTACAACATGGGTAAATACACACAAACATTAGACAATATTGTGAGGATTAGTTGTTCAACAGAGTGATGGCAGGAGGGAAAGAACTGTCCATGTGTCTGGTTGTTTTGGCACGCAACGTCCTGTAGTGTCATCCGGAGGGAAGGAGTTGCAACAGTTTGTGTCCAGGATGTGACAGGTGTGTAGAGATTTTCTCAGTCCTCCTTCTGACCCGCTCAATATACAGGTCTTCAATGGAAGGCACGACGATTGCAACGGGTTTTTTTTCCTGCATTCCTAAGTATCCGTTGAAGTCCGTACCTGTCCCGTTTGGCCGCTGTACCAAAGCAGACAATTATTGAAGTACAAATGACAGACTCAATAATTCCTCTGTAGAACCCCAGAAATTGTGGGTGCTCCAACACTGGAGGTTTTTAAGAAGAGATTGGACACCCTTTTGTCTGATATGGTATAGGGTCTCTTGCTTGAGCAGGGGGTTGGACTAGAAGACCTCTGAGGCCCCTTCCAGCTCTGTCATTCGGTTACCTGTAAACACAGCTCCTGGGGCAGTCTGAACTTCCTGAGCTGACACAGAAAAAACATTCTTTGTGGTGCCTTTTTAATGGTGGCTCTAATGTCAGGTGCCCATTTCAAGTCCTGGGAGATCCTAGAACAGTGATGGCGAACCTTTTAGAGACCGAGTGCCCAAACTGCAACCCAAAACACACTTATGTATTGTTGGGTGCCAGGTGGGCGTGGCCCATTGGGTGGGCATGGCTGCGGTGGTCACGGCAGACTGGGTGAGCATGGCTGGGGTGAGCGTGGCCACCTCAATGTTGCTCAAGGGGAGGGACGCCTGTGGGGGCCAGGCAGGGTTGGGGGAGATCCAGGGGTTCTCTGGCGGGTGGGATGGTGGGCAGGAGGCTCGTCCTGCGGGGTGAGGCAATGCGAGGTAGAGGGCAGGGCAGGGATGCCATTGCCGCAGGGCAAGTCAAGGCAAGGTAGGGGCTGGGGCGGCTGCTACCTGACACCATCGGCCCCCACACACAGTGAGCGCATGGGGGCCGACTGTGTCCATCAGCAGCCACAGCCTGCTGGTCTCTCAGTTTTGGCACGACGTGGCTGTATGCCACCTCGCATGTCGCACCCAATGCGGCTACCATGACACCATGGAACAAGCTGGGCGGAGGTAAGGAACAAGCAGGGCGGCGCTTCATGGCAGCGGCATTGGGTGCAATGCGTAAGGCAGCAAATGGCTGCGGCTAGAGTCAAACAGCTATGACGCGCAAGGCGGCAAATAGCCGTGGCCGGAGTCTCACAGCTATGACGCACGAGGCAGCAAATGGCCTGACCGCCCACTTCAGCGCCCTCCCTCCCTGAGCCTCTGACGCTTCACCTGCTGCTTTGGTTGGCCTGCCAGCCCCCACCTCAACACCCTGCCCACCACCGCCTAGCACGGCCGCCCCAGGGCTGCAGAAACTGGCTTGGCATGGGGAGGACACATGCCCCACCCTCCCGCCACCATGCAGGCTAAGGTTGCCGCACCCGCCCTCGCCCAGATGCTCTCTCCTCCTCCAAGCATTTTTTTTATTAACCTGCATTTCAGCTGCATCCCATTTCTCCGTTCATTTCTCAGCCTTCGCCGTGTGTTTGTGGGACTATGGGTAAAAAAACCAAGTTCCATCAGACTTTCTAACTCCTTGAGTTCTCGCTAGAAGTTAGAAAGTCTGATGGAATTTTTTTTTTTAACCGATAGTCCCACAAACATGTGGCGAAGGCTGAGAAGCGAACGGAGAAACGGAATGCAGCTGGAAGGCAGGTTAGTAAAAAAAACACTTGGGGAGGCGGGTGCGGGTGCGGCAACCTTACCCTATGCAGGTATTGATGCAGGTTGCTCATGGACGGGACTGAAGGCCTAGGACTGGGGCGACGGCGCGCGTGCCCAGAGAGAGGGCTCTGCATGCCACCTGTGGCATGCGTGTCAAAGGTTCGCCACCACGGCCCTAGAACCGCGAAGCCTGAAGGTCTCGACTATTGATGCCGCGTTGTCTAACGTTGCCAGAGGTGGCGGAATAGGAAGGCTCTGCCTAAAATCTACCATCATCTCTTCGGTTTTCAGCGGGTTCTAGTCCATATTGTTCCGGCTGCACCACAGGGCCCATTGTTCAACCTCTGTATGCAGACTCATCACCGTCTCGAATGAGACCCCCGACTCTTGTCTCATCTGCAAACTTCAGTACAGGCAGTCCTCGACTTACTTCATTTAGTGACCGTTCAGAGTTACGACGGCCCAGAAAAAAGGGACCCTTTTTCACATGAGCCAAATTCAGACACTTGGCAACCGCCTCGCATTTATGACCGCTGCTGTGTCCCAAGATCATGTGATCCCCTTCGACGACCTTCCGGCAAGCAAAGCCAAGGCTTAACAACCTTGTTACTAACTTATCAACCGCAGTGATTCACTTAACAACCGAGGCAAGGAAGCTCGTAAAATGGGGCAAAACTCACTTAACAAATGTCTCACTTAACAACAGAGGCTTTGGGCTCAACTGTGGCCGTAAGTCGAGGACAACCTGCTCTTTAACAGAGGGATCCTTCGAGTGGTAGTCATTTCTACAGAGACAGAGAAGTGCCATGGAGGAAGCGCACAGCCCAGGAGGGGCCCCTGTGCTAATTGTCCAGGTGCTTTGGTGTGATTTTGTGTGTGCTTTTCCGTGTGAGTTTTCCTACCTTCACCACAGAAAAAATTAAGGGGAGAAATTTATAGTGGACAAATTTAGCTGGTCAGTCCCAGCAGCCTCTCGCTGAATTCCCAGAGCTTCTTGGCCAGCTGGTCATCGCGGGCCTGTGGACTGGGCACCTTCGGCTGGCAGTCCACAAAATACTGCCCGCTCAGCCTCTCGATGCCCTCCTCGGTGGCGCAGTAGATGGTGGTCTGGGCACCAGTGTCGCTGTCTCGGATGAACAGCTTCATGAACCAAAGCAACCAAGGGAGCCAACGGGGACAGGAGCGACCAATTTCGGTTTTAACAATTCCTGAAATCAAAGGCAGAGAGAACAGTCCGTGGATGGAAGATTACCCATATGGGGGGAGGAGATCCCGAATGAATTCTTCGCATAGTACCCGTTTCCCACCGGGAACCATGGGCCGCTTGGCACCCTTTGGGCAACATAGGAAATGTCTCGGAAGACCAAGAGCTCAATCTGAGTGGGTGAGGATGCCAGTGGGGTTTCTGTGTGTGTGTGTGTGTTTGTGAGTCATAATTATTGCAGCTGTGTGTGAACTCAAGGTCAATGTTAGATAAAGTTTTGGGGGGTTGAGAAGTTGACAGGAGAGCCCGCGTTTTAGAATAATAATAATAATAATAATAATAATAATAATAATAATAATAATAATAATAATAATAATAATAATAATAATAATAATAATAATAATAATAATAATAATAATTATTATTATTATTATTATTGAATTTATATCCCGCCCTTCTCCTTGCGGACTCAGGGCGGCTGACAATCAGTTAAAAAATACACCAATAACAATTACAAAATTAAAATTAGCTAAAAAGAAATATTTAAATGTTGTCTAATTAAAATATGATTAAAAACCCCTCTAAAAATTGCCCTAGGCTAGTCCCGCAAGCTGGAATAACCAAGTCTTGAGGGCGCGGCGGAAGGAAGGGAGATCAGGGATCACCCTGATCTCTGGGGGCAGCTCATTCCAGAGGGTGGGAGCTCCCACAGAGAAGGCCCTCCCCCTTGGGGTCGCCAGCCGGCACTGTCTGGCCGACGGCACCCTGAGGAGACCCACTCTGTGGGAGCGTACTGGCCGATGGGAGGTAATCTGTGGCAGAATGGTGAATGTCATTTATGACAGCCTTTCTGGGGTGGGAATTACAACGTGTTACTTTGTATCTGGGGGAGGGAACTTCAGTCTTGGGTTCAACTGTGTAAGTGCCCATACTTTGTTTCCTGAATAAAATGTTCTTTAAGGAAGAAATCTTTGCCTTGAAGTTCTTTTAATTGGTTTCATCTATCGGAACCATGACACAGACATTTCGTGACTCAACTGGGGAACGTCATCAGTGCTAGAAGGGAGGGGGGTTTGTGGAGAGGAGGAAGAAGAGGAGAGGGAGGAGGAGGAAGAGCAGGAGGAAAGGTAAATGGAGGCAAGCAAAGGAGGAGAAGGAACAGGAGGAAGGGAAAGGAGGCAGAGGAACAGGAAGAGAATGGCAGGAGGAGGAGGAGGAGGAGGAGGAGGAGGAGGAGGAAGAGTGAAGGATGAGGAGGAAGAGGGAGGGAGGAGGAGAGAGGAAGAGAAGGGAAGGTGAAGAGGAGGCAGAAGTGGAGGGGAAAGCCTCATTCTTGCTTTAGGTAGTGGGTTGGTCTAGAAGACCTCCAAGAGCCCGTCCCACTCTAAGATTTTAGGATTCTATTAGCTCTGGGACCCGGAAGGGTGAGAGACATCTTCCTCCGCAGCTGAGCCCAATGGAGGAAACTCTCGGGGTGGCTCTGCAGAGGGGGTCAAGGGAGCCCCCAGTGGGAGAGAAATGCCTGGCAGAGCCCCAGACGGACCTGGGGCGGTGTCTCCATCTGGGGCTTCTTGGAGCCGGACTTCCACTCACCTGGATGAACCACGTAGCAGGTGACGTTGGTTCCTTCCAGCCGGTTGGCCAACTCTCGCGCATGGAGAACGTTGGCCAGTTTGCTGTTGGAGTACGATTGTAGGGCCTGCCACATCCCCTCCACCGGTTTGTGGATGGTCCGAAAGTCAATCTTCCCAGCCCAGTGCCCACTCGAGGACGTGATTACAACCCGGCTTGGGGCGCAGCGCTTTAGCCGGTCCAAGAGCAGATGGGTCAGCAGGAAGTGAGCCAGGTGGTTGACCTGGAAACCCAGGTCAAAGCCATCAGCAGTTTGACCGTCCTTAAAGACCCCTGCCAAAAAAAGTAAGCGGATTCCAGGTAGTCTTCAGTTTACAACGGGTCACTTCGTGATCGTTCGAAGTTACAACAGATGCCAGAAAAGTACTTACAACCCAGTTCCAAAGTTGCAACGGTTCCCCCCCACCCCAGTGTTACATGATCACATTTTAGGCGCTTGGGAACTGGTCTTCACTTTACAACCTGGTCCACCATCATGTGATGGAGGATTTACGACATTTTTGTCGAAAAACAAAGTTTACGTCCACTTTTCAGCAAAAACACCCTATAGTGAACAAATGGTTCGCTCAACGACTGGCTCAACAAAGGAAATCATAGTAGTTAGAGACCCACTTTATAACTGTTACACCTTACAACCGTAATGGGCAGGCTGCCTAATGGTCATAAAGCATCCAGTTTTGTCTAGTGGTTAAGCCTAGAAAGCAGGAGGCTATGAATTCAAATCCTGCTTTAGGCATGAAAGCCAGCTGGGAGACTGAGCCAATCACCTGGAGTCTGAGGGTTCTAGTCCCGCCTTAGCCATGAAAGCAAAGTGGGTGATTTTGGGCCAGTCATTCTCTCTCAGCCCAACCCACCTCACAGGGTCGTTGTTTTGAGGAAAATAGGAGGAGGAAGGCATGCTGGATCTGTTCGTCGCCTTGAGTTACTTGTAAAAATAATAATAAAGGCGGGATACCAAAAACGAGGAACTACAAAGAGGAGAGAGCTGCTTCTAAAGTTACAGCCAAACCCCTGAAGGAAGAGAAATCCTGGAAACCCCCACAATATTCCCACTTCCTCGCCCAGATACCCCAGGGGGAGTCTGCTCTGCACCCACCGGCATTGTTGATGAGGATGTCCAGACGGGGCTCCGATTTTAAGAAGGTCTCTGCGAAAGCTCGCACGGAGTTGAGGTTGGCCAGATCCAGGATCATCAGGATCACCTCCGAGTTCCCACTTTCCTGGAAAAGGAGCAGAAGGAATCCTGAGAAGAATCGGGATCGGGTGTGGCTTCAAAGGCTGATCCCGGTTTACTCACCTTCTATGTATGTCTGCTCACCTCCTGACAATCACTCCGGGTGGTGTGTAGTAAAACAAAACAGGCAGTCCTCAACTTGCAACCATTTGAAATTGCAATGCTGCTGAAAAGAGTGATTTACGACCTATGCTCATACTTTCGACCACTGCAGCATCTCCAGGGGTCATGTGATCAGAATTCGTGTGCTTGGCAACCAGTGTAATTTCCTATAGTGGCAGTGTCCCTGGGTCATGTGATCACTATTTGTGATCATCCCAAAAGTATTCCCACAAGCAAAATCAATGGGGAACCTGGATTCACTTAACAACCATGTGATTCACAAAACAAGTGCAGTGATTTGGTTAATTAAGGGGCTGCCCCAAAGAAGAGGAGGGGGTCAAGCTATTCTCCAAAGCCCCTGAAGGCAGGACAAGAAGCAACGGATGGAAACTAATCAAGGAGAGAAGCAACCTGGAACTAAGGAGGAATTTCCTGACAGTGAGAACAGTTAGACAGTGGAACAGCTGGCCACCAGAAGTTGCGGGTGCTCCAACATTGGAGGCTTTTAAGAAGAGACTAGACAGCCACTTGTCTGAAATGGTTCGGGGTCTCCTCCTTGGGCAGGGGGTTGGACTAGAAAACCTCCGAGATACCTTCCGACTCAGTTATTCTGTAATAACATACCACAGTCTTATGGTCTAGATCAAACTGCCGGCCCACCCAATTGCCGGCAATGGAAAAAAAGTCATATGTCACGTGACTTGCGAGTTTGACGCCCCTGGTCTAGGTGAAGAATGGCAATTAAGATGGAGGAGTTTTAATAATCAGAACCAAACGGATCATGCAGATCCAACAAAACCACTTCCAGGAATGCAGCTGCCCCAAAAAATATGGAGCCCCCTGGACAGAATCTGGACAGGCCAGGCAAGAAATTAAAGGCAAAGCTCTTCAAGTGGGGAATGGCCGGGGGTCCGCAGGGTGACAGGGGGGGGCATCGGAAGTGTTGGGATCTCGAATTCAGTGTAGTTGATTGGCTGGAGAGTGCTGGCTCCTGCATGAGGCAATCTACGCTCTGATTGGTTGCTATGGGTGCGGAGGAGGCATTTCCCTTCTTTCCCGCCTTTTTCCTCTGCGTCCTCTGTGTGCTGTTAAGATTTACCTCACGATGTTCCTGTGTTCCTAACAGGTATATTTATATTTATATTTATAATTTTTAGAATTAGTCTTAGAGTTATAGTTATGTATATACGATAAAATATTAAGTTAGGCTAAAACCATGATAAAATCACCATAATATGGTGCCATAGAGTCACAATGGGATGTTATAATTCGATATCTAAGGAAGCTAAAAACCCTGCTTCTGGTGTGAGTTGAAATTTCCTAAGATGACTTTCTTGGGCTATATGTGTTATTGTTTGTTCCTGTCAAGGAATTGTGCAACAGCTGTCCAGATGAAGTTTAATTTACCTCAGGATATTCCTCTGTTCCTGTAAATATATATATATATTTACAGCAGTCTTTGTCATCATCCAGAGAGAAAGAACACAAGACAGTCAGGAACACAGGAATATCACGGATACTCTGGATGATGACAAAGACTGCTGTAAATATGTGTTTGTGTGTGTGTGTGTGTGTTTATTATCTTTGTCATCATTCAGAAAGAACACAAGATATGGTTAGCTTCCTTAGATATTGAATTATAACATCCCATTCTATGGCATCATATTATGGCGATTTTATCATGGTTTTACTTTAACTTAATATTTTATATTTATTGTACTGACCACTTATTTGATATACACATATTTGTTCATACTTTAAATTTACATTTGCATTTGCCTGTATAGTGCATTTTATCAGAATTGCATATAAGGAATTGCATGACTCTGTAGATGCCATGCGCTAAATAAATGAATATAAATTTAAATAATAATAATAAAATTAAAAAAAACCATCAGGAAAAGACCTGGATGCAGAAGAACGGAGGGAAGGAGGGAACCGCACGGCAGGCGCTTACCCGTCTGATGTCCCACACAGCCGATTCTCCTCTTGCTTTGTCGCGGCATGCCAGAATGACACGGGCGCCTCTCCGGGCAAGATCCACCGCTGTGGCCTTCCCGATCCCTGCATTTCCACCTAGGAAAGGCCAGAGAAAGGAGGATTCACCGAGATTGCCCAGCCGTTGATGGGGACCCAGGAGCCGGGCCTACGTTTGTGTGTCTGCAGTTTTTGTGGCGTCACGCAATGAAGCACTTGTGTGGCAGTGTTTCTCAACCTTGGCAACTTTAAGACGGGTGGACTTCAACTCCCAGAATTAAAAGCATCTTAAAGTTGAGAAACCCTGTCTCAGGGTCTGATTTTCACAACTCCTTCAGAGCAGTTTTATATCAACAACAAATAATAGCTTAAAACTATTCAGGAGTAATACAAATAGTCCTCGACTTACAACCATTATTTTAGTGATCGCTTGAAGGTACAACAGCACTGAATTTTTTTCACAGGGTTCTAATATTTCAAACATATGAAAATCAAACACTGATTTTTTCCTGTTGTGTGGCTTTTACCCAATTCTGACATACAACAATCCATGGGATGGTTGAAGTACAGTTCAGCATTCCTGACTGAGATACCTGGAGTCCCTTTAGGTCAGTGATGGCAAACCGAATGCCCAAACTGCAACCCAAAACCCATTTATGCATCGTCGGGTGCCGGGTGGGTGTGGCCCATTGGGTGGGTTTGGCCAATCGGGTGGGTGTGGCCCATTGACTGGGCATGGTTGCGGTGGTAACGGTAGACTGGGTGGGACAAAAAAGTTCAATCAATCAATTCCAACTTTGCAAGATCTTTTTTTTCCCGTGAGAAGTTGAAATTGACTGATTGATTGAACTTTTTTTTTTTTTTGCACATGGCGGCGGAGGCCTAAAGTGAAAAGGTTTTATAAAACCCAGCTGAAGGCCTAGGACTGGGGCGACAGCGCGTGTGCCCACAGAGAGGGCTCTGAGTGCCGCCCCTGGCCCCCGTGCCATAGGTTCGCCACCACTGCTTTAGGTCTTTGAAAGGACCCCTTTGTAGTGAGATGGATGGCAAATAAGTTTAGTAATAAAAAATTAAAAAATGAAAGGCATTTCAGAAAATGAGATGCAATGTTTCTGTCAGACCAGAAGATGGCGCATGTCTCCCAACACTGGCTCTGCAGGCTGTCACTTTACTAACACAAGTCACAAAACGATTTGAAGGCCAAACATGCATTAATGCATGGATGAGGGGAACTAACTAATCGTCTTTTCTCACTCTGATCCAGGGACAAATAGAGTTACTTAGCAGGGCATAAACAAAGCCAATTGGAAACAGTTTTGTTAAAACTTACCTATTTCTGCGGACTCTGGAAATACTACAGATAGTCCTCAACTTACAATGATTCATTTCATGACCGAAGTTACAATGGCACAGAAAAAAGTGACTTATGACTGTTTTTCACACTTATGAACATTGCAGCCCCGTGGTCCATGATAAAAATTCAGATGCTTGGCAACCGACTCATATTTATGACTGTCGCAGTGTCCCGGGGTCACATGATCCCCTTGTGCAACCTACTGATGAGCGAAGTCAATGGGGGAAGCCAGAGTCACTTAACAACTGTGTTACTAACTTAACAGCAATGATTCACTTAACAACTGTAGCAGGAAAGGTCATAAAATGGGGCAAAACTCACTTAACAACTCTCTTGTGTAGCAATGGAAATTTTAGGCTCAATTTTGGTCGTAAGTTGAGGACTACCTGTAGTTCTGTTCCAATGGCTACTTGGAAGAGGGGCAAGTTCCTGGTGCTCAGTTTCAGGATCTCTCAGAAATTTGGTCCCAGTTGACCAAAAGAGAGGAAGTGAGGTAGGAGGACCTGGGTCATGGAGCGGAACACGGGACTTGAATGCGTGTATTGCCAGACACAAAGCAGGGCTTGAGTCATAAAACAGGACAGAAGCCTTAAAAGCGTGCATTAGTTAGAACAGTGGTTCTCAACCTTTTTAATGCCGCAACCCCAACCGGTCGTAAGTCGAGGACTAAACCGGTTGTAAGTCGAGGACTAAACCGGTCGTAAGTTGAGGACTAAACCGGTCGTAAGTCGAGGACTTTCCCTGCCCGGGAGTGCCGCGCATGTGTGGTTTCGCCCCCTGCGCCAGCCGAGGCATAGCTGGCAAGCGGCAGAGACGGAGCAGGCTGACCACCAGCTGGCCCAACTCAAGGGAGGTAAGGCACCCGCTGGAAAAGGGGAAAAAAATGGCGGACAGTCTTGCTTGGCGATCCCCGTGAAATGGTCGATCGACCCCAAATGGGGTCCCGACCCACAGGTTGAGAACCACTGAGTTAGAAGAAGAATAAAAGGAAGTGAAAGATGTCAAAACCACAGGTTCATTTGTTGGTCACACAGAGATGTTAAGTTCGAAGCTCTGCTACAGCTAACCACAAGTCAGTTACAGGAAATTTTGACAGAAGCTTTCGCAAGATATTTTAGCTACTTCAGCATAGCAACAGGGGGGCTGTACGGGGGCTGTGATTCAAAGCAACCAATCCATGCTACCTGTTACATTTCCGTGTTTTGCTGTTTCTGACGAGAATATATAAACTTGTGTTTTGTTATGAGAAGCTGTTCAGATGTGGCTACAAATATAGTGCTCTGAACCTTTTGCGCAAAATAAAGCAACTTCTTTTGATTCCGTGGTCTGAGTCCTGTGATTTTCTGCAATAGAAGGACAGGGTGAAAATGGTCTCCCTGCCTCCATGCCAGGCGGTTCTCTTTCACTGGCAAATCGATGGACAATTCCAGATCTATGGATATATCAGCCAGCCTGGGACGCACACGTGGCGGGTGGCTGTAAATGACAGAATGGCTGTCAATGCCAGTATTGCTGGGCAGGGAATTCTGGGAGTTGAAGTCCACACATTTTAAAGTTGCCAAGATCGAGAAACACTGCTCTGTTTCCTTTCAGGTTAAGCAACGGTAAGAAGAGTGCAGGGAAGACTTCCGGTTTGCCGACACGGCCAATGCAGACGCTGGAAGGCGAGGTTTCACACTGCTGGGGGAGCCTGGAAAAGGTCGAAAGTCGCCCTGCAGGGGCGACAAGCAAGGAGGGGACCCCTGCTTGATCGTTGGAGGGCAGTAGCCCTTCCACTCAATCCAGGGCAGCCTTCCAAACCGGCGGATGAAAGACTAGCCATAGAAATATGGCCCGTCACTAGGCTGCAGACAGCCGAAGTCAAACTTACCACCAGGCACCTATAAAGCAGCGTGGATGAGACTGGGTGAGATCTGAACCTCTCTTCAGTCCTAACTATTTTTTCCACCTGTATAAGCTACCCAAAGTATTTTCCCATCCTCTAAAAACAACGGTGACTGACTATCCAGGGGAGTTTAAAATGCTGAAAGAATAACCTGATTCTAACTGGATTTCTATTTTTCTAAAATTTGAGGATTAAAAGATTTCTTATTCTTATTGAAGATTTGGATTTTTACTTACAAAAAAGAAGTAAAATTGGAAAAAGGATTCTAAAAATTTTGGACTTTAAAATAATAATAATCTTAAATGGTCTGGGTGACATCATGTGGCTAAACCTGATATTACAACTTGTTATTGCCTAAAAGAGACTTGGCTTGAAGCCCAGGCTATAGATAAGACTTTTGCAACCTTGGCAGATATCAGCTGTGAGAAGCCCAGCTGTGTTCTATACTCAGTGACAAAATTATTTTCATTCTCTGATTGTAAAGCTTTTAATTTAATACACCATGAGAATATGGATGAAGATCAGGAACAGATTCTCTTTATGTTGAAAGCAATTTATGAAACTATTCTTACAGCTACAGAAAAGAACAAGATGTCAGCCTAAATATACAAACCCAAACTTTGATTACAACTAAAGAATCAGCTACAAAGAATATAACAGAAGAAGTGGAACAATCAAATACTATGGTAGAAGATTTAACTGATCAACAAACACAGTTAACGGAAAACCCAGAAAAGGGACTGACAACACTGAAAATGGAAAAGACTCTCTATATAAACCAGAAGAAACCTGAGGATCAAGAAGAACAGACTGAAGGGAAGATAAACATTTCAGGACAACTTTGTTGAGATGGAAAAATAGAGCTACGA